TAAGCTCTGTTAAGTCAATTACAAAATAATGTAAAAAAAAAAAAACACCACACCCGTAACGGTAACTACAGCTGATGCTCAGAAAAGCCAAGACTTTTGACATAAAATAACAGATTACATATATAAAAAAGTCACCCCCCAAAAGTATTTCAATTTTCAGCTGAAGAATTAAAAAATCTTAGCACAAAGGCATTGCTCAAGCATAATTACTCTTTACAATGCTAATGAACAATTATATGCTACAAAGAAGGGAAATATGATGAAAAGCTATCATGAGGCACTTCCCACATGAAGGTTTATTACATCCTCAGCATAGCACTACATCTGACTCTGAGCAGCAGAACAAGCAGCTGTGTAAGGCTGGTAGTAGTTATTCATACAGTCAGGGGCATTCGACACTAAGCACGCTGAAGAAAATTAACCTGAGCTTAGACTTACCTCCTCCTTCTGATTCTTACAGGTTTTGCTTTGGGATGCGCTCAGTCAGAGGATACCAATGTTCTTTAATTTGTTTATTAAACATTGAGTGATGAATATCGCTTTAGAGAACTGCTGTATCTAAGCCAGAGGCTCATTGCCAGACATCTTTAATGGAGCCTGGAGAAGGGTTTGAGAATAGGGCACATGTATGGCAACACTTCTTTAGGCTGTTCTCTGCCTCTGTGGGCTGGACACTGGTTCTCTGTATTTATCAGTCTTCAGTACAGCTTTCTTCTCTGACCTTGTCCAACTGCATTTGAAAATACACCTAACATCCTGCAGCCAGCAATGCCACAGGTTGTCTATGTACCCTATGAGAGAGGGGGGGAAAAAAAAAGTGCTTTTGTTTGCTTTTGTTTGGGAAATTGCTGTTTTAATAAGCATTCAATTTGTTCCCTTGTCATTCTATCAGGAGAGGTAATGAGGAGTCACCCCCTCCCACAGTCAGTGGGATATTGTAAAAAGAGCCAGAGAGGTGGGGTTTGATTTCCCTGTACTGCCATGTGCTGGAAAGCAGTATTTTTAGCAGTATTCCATCAAAATCGTACCTCTACAAAACATATAATTTTGCAGTTCTTCATGCCACTTACTGAATGCTGGGCTAACTGTCCTTGGGAACTCTGTATGGCATTAATTATTTAACTACCAGTCCACTGCTACAAAAGCTCAGGAAACAGCAGGGAAGAGAGTCAATTCTCCAGCCAAGCCAGGGGCAGAAATTCAATGAGAAATGGGGATCCTCTGCCCTGAGGTTGCCACTGCCTGCTACTACATGGTGACATCCCATACCAGAGACATGGGTTTTGATATAAGCCAAACAGACATTGAAGCTGGGAGCATTTATAAAATGTAGTCTCTGAGCTAAGCATGAGCAGAGTACTCTTGAGGACTGAGGAAATGAGTCTCCCTCCTCCTTGCCAGCCCATAGGGGAGCCCTGGTAGACAGCAGCTGAAAGCTCCCAGCCCTGGTGGGACATCGCCCTTCGCCAGGGGCTTTCCAGTGAGTATCAAGGGAGGATACTTGTTTCTCTTTTTTAACTCCAGGGGGAAACACATGCTCAACAGCCTCATGAACAGGAGGGCTGAAATGATACTGATCAGCAAGCATTTTGCATTGCTTTCAGGAACACCAGCAGAAGAAATGCATTCAAGCACTTAGTGGTCATGCCAAGATGGGTTGCCACACTACAGAGTGGCTAATGGGGCAGAGCGAGATGCTCGTGACATACCACAACCTCCCAGTGCATTTCCATTCCTTGCTGCCAGGGTAATTTATGCACTCTTCTGTCAGTACAAGATGCTCAAATGAAGTTAAAAGGAAACATAAGGGAATACAGTTTCAGAAGGAAATTGTTGGGCAGTACTAAGGGTAAAACAATAGCAAATGGCATCTGGCTTCTGTTAAGATGTACAGATTCAGCAAATTACAGCCCAAATGGGTTAGGCCCATCCAAAAGACTGTTCAGTGTCCTCTGATGTAGTCAGCTTATTTCAGAATATGCTCCTTTGTTTTTTCAGGACAAATAAATAAATAAATGGCAAATAAAATATGTACTGGGCCTTAGGAGAACTTTCCATCAGCTCCAGAGTCTAAACAAGTTGGAGAAAGTAAAACACAGCTACCAAAGCAAGCAAGCAGAAAATAAAGGGAAAATGCAACAAACAGCTCTTAGCACCACAATAGGGCTGCCTGAGCCTGAATTCAAAGGGAAGAAAAGATTAAAACAAGCTCACTGTGGCAGAGCAACCCTGCAGGAGAGGAGTACGCTGTATAAATCATGTCACCGCTATGAGCTGGACTCTGAATGCAACTTGACCAATTGCTGAGTTGGTTGAACTGTTTGGCCAGCTGAGTCAAACAGCAATCCTCTTATGGACTGTTCCTACAAAATATTTTAAAGATCAGAGAAAAATACTAGGCTTTACCTACCCATTTTGGTTCCATTTATTTGAAGGTTGCTTTCTTTTTCTGTTTCTTCTTTTTCTTTTTCTTTTTTTTTTTTTTTCCTTCTCCTCACCTTCTGAATACTGAAATATCTCTAGTTTAATAAAAGAAGGGTACTAAGCAATCCCACGCAGAATATTGTCAGTAATAATTAAAAAAAAAAAAAAAAGAGAGAGAGAGCAAGAGAAAGACTTAAAAAGGAATATTATGACGTAAAAATAGAGATTAAATTTTGTGGTTACATTGATATGGAAACAGAATTACTTCATTGTCTTCAGATGTGAATTCTTTCAGAGTAGAGCAACTGTGTCTACCACCACATGAGATGTCTCACCCATGTATATGATACCTTCATAATTAGGGCATTCTTTATAGCTGAGGGAGATTAAATTTGGTTTTCTTATATGCCTGAGGAGATTCAAACTCTTTAGAGAGTGAGACAATCAGATGATGTAGGCCATGATGGAACGGGTGGCTGTGACCTCCTCCTGAAACTGCTCGATATTTCATAGCAAGTTAAAGACTCATTTCAGCAGAAATGTTCATAACCCTGCAGGTAGGTGCTCCTACCACAAGGCTGGGAGAATTCAAACAGTAGGAACCTTGCTATCCACAGCTATTCACAGGTTTTATGTGAGCTGCTCACTGAACGAGCAGAGACAGATAAACAATGGGAATTCACAGCCACGTTCAATCATGGGACATGATGTTTGCTAAGGGGACAAGACTAGCAGAGTGGCATAAGAGCATGAGGAAACCGTATTTTAAGGGAAGTAAGATTCCCAGACTTTGCTTTTTGACTCCCTTGCCTATTGCTACTGAGAGCATCTACAACCCATTGATCTGTGATGCTGAGGGAGGGATTTTTTTTTTATTTTTAACCAGGAAATTCATCCACAGTTCTCTTGATAAGAATGAAGATTGATCGGGTAAGAGTAATGCTTCAGAGGAAAGAAGAAACAAGATTTAATGCAGTGATTACTAAAGGGTCTCTTTGCTCCAGGGACCACGTACACCTCAGTTTGCCCACCCTCCCTGCTACTTCAGCTGTCCTGCCCAAAGCACAAGTGGGTCCCTCTGCTGGACCCTGGAGCCCTGACTGGGAAGGACAGCCATTCATTCCGGGTCACTCATTCAGCAGAAGAAAATCCAATTAAGTATAACTATATTAATGCTAAGCGAGAACCCTCAGTAGTATATAAAACATTAAAAAGCAAGTATGCCATGTGATGCAGGGTGTCTGAAATGAGAGCTCAGGGTCACAGGCAAAATCCACATATTGTATCTAGATACAGGAAAAAAATAAGTCAATCAGCATGTTCTCCCTAGGCATTTCACCTCTAATTGAAGAGTGAATTTTATTTACTTACCTGCTCATGTTCTTGACTGTCTCTCAGCAAATGAATTGTGATTACATTACATAAAATGTCAGTGTTTGGCTTTCATCTATCTCATAGGACTGGATTCAGAAGAAATTCCACACTTTAAGACACATGTGAAAACATATTGAACATCTAAAAGTATGTTTACTGTATAGAAAATAAAAATATTTGTTTGAAATTCAGATTGTAGCATGTCTGATTCCTGCTTCTGCAGCTGAGGCATGTAAAAGAAATGCTAACTTTAAAGGGAAAACCAAAGCCATTTCACATGCAAACTAGCAATGGCCAAGGGCATCGTTGACTATACCTAAGTATACCTAAAATCATACTAAAACACATGCAGATTTCACACACAAAAGGATCTCAGGCTTTCCTCATGATTCTGGGGTACTCAGCGCCTATCTTAAAGGTATTCAAAACTGATCAAAAACCAGTTTAAGTGAAAGAACAAATTTTTGTCCGGTAAACATTTGCAACTCAAATGTTGTCAGCACTGATGCAGAATGAGGAACTTCATACAGCGTTTATAAATGAAGAATAATTTATCAAAACAAACTTGGAATTTGAGTGAACATGGATGTAATAATGAGAAACACCACAGGAAAAAAAGGGTGTGGGTTCTAAAACTTTTAGACAAACCACTGTTCTGCATGTTTTAAGAGCAAATACACCCTAATTCATCCACAGTACTTGAACTTGCTGGACCATATTCTTGAGCTGTCACCCTTTTGTTTCAAAATGTCTTTATAGCTGCAGTAGCAATAACTGGGGAGAGCATCTCTCTCCACAGAGCAAAAGAATTGCTGGGCACCGTGGCTGCCACACCAGAAGGAACTGAGCTTCCAGCCAACAGACGAGATTCTACCAGACGTGAGGGGGTGTATGACCTCTTGAAAAAATGTAAGTTAGTAGCTGTAGCAAACGATGTTTGTGACATTAGTGGTCTTGGGGACTGGAAATGCACAAACTTAGTTTAAGATAATCTGGCACCTCATTCACTGAACTCTTTCTGGGTGCCTATGCTAATATTTCTGAATGGCCTTAGCTATTATGGTATTGTGTGTTAGACATCCAGCCTTTTCCCCAAACACCCACAAGCTCATTGAACATCATCTCTCCCTTAGCTTCATCTGAAACCAGACAAGAACCAAAGGGAAGTTTGCTCAGAAACAAAGAGGAGGCCAAGCAGCTGGTAGAAACATGACCTTTCTCCATGAGGTCAAATAGCTTTATTGTGATTAAGCACTACAATACAGTATATATCCATAAAAAACTCTATAGTGTGTATAAATTATTCTTTCCATTCAGTAATTTTTTTTTTTCATTTTGTTTTCTTTTTTTGTTTGTTTGTTTTCATTTCCATTACAGCTTTGGTACAATGTGATTTTATTATATTTTTAAATACTTTTAGCTTCACAAACTCAACACAAAGTACAAAACTAATCCGAATCAGGGATATTACAATCTACACAGTGGTGTTCAGTGGTAGGAAAAAATCTTACCTCAATGAATTCATGTCACTAGCTAAGCTATAAAGGCATACCTAGCAGACATGACAAGAATATGCACCATTAACCAGCAAACATTTTTTTTTTCAAAATTTAATTTATTTTTTACAGATTTTTTCCAGCAGCAAATCACTTGGGCATAGTCAGTACTTATGTCCTCAACTGATTATCCTGTTGTGTTCCTCTTCATTTGAAGGCCATGAGTTATTTGTCAAATAATGCACCACTATCCTTGTATATCCACTCTAAGCCAGTGTCAGTACTTGACCTGCCACCCTGCATTGTTAATGCTCGCACAGTTTGTCCTGCAGCTGGCAGAAATAACTGGAACGTTATTGGAGGGGCAGTGTGGGGCAATCAACCGTAGATTGTTCTGTGGGGCAGGAGGTATGACATTACAGTAAACAGGCATTCCAGTGGCTGTAAGTGTTCCTTGACCTGATTGATTAGGTAGCATGATTGGTTGTTGATATGATTGCTGTGGCAATCCTTGAGAACCCTGGGTCATTGGCACCTAGACAGATGTAGAGAAATATGTAGAAAAAATAATTAGTAAATAAATTAAAATAAGTCCCAAGTATTCCTATTTTCCTTCTCCTGAATTCAGTAATATAACATGCCTAGACAAAATTTGTTATTTTCTGCTGCTCAGAACTATTCTAATGGCTGAGGATCTTTTTTTGACTAGAGATTTGTTAAAAATAAGTCACTGTGCTTCAGGGACTAGTAAGTGGTTCTGTCATGATCTAGCTGAATGTGAATTTCCAAGATCATATTCTTACATTAATAATAATGCAAAACAAATATTCTTATTATACAGAAGACTCAACCCTGGTATATTTAAGGCCATCTAAAAGGTCTAGGCCTTTAACTTGATCATTAACTTTAAAACACATTTTCCATATAGTAAATCTGAAGACTTAAGGAGAAAATTATGGCCATGAGCCCACCCATTTCCATCCAGGTTACTGTGGTGTTTTCAAAGAAGGCGATGGAAAGGATGAATCAAAGGATGGCTGCTCAATCAGTGTAAACTATTGAAAGGAACTAATATCACTGTTTCTTAAATTTCCAGAGGGACCATACCAGGAAACATAAGCACAGACCACCTCATAGGTGGCCTCAAGCTTTTGTCATATTTCACAGAATCCAGGTATCAAGTTGGGAAAATACAAAATTTTGGGTAGCTTACAGACCTGGTAAAACACAAGCCACTTCCTTCCCTCTCCCCTAAGTCCAGTAAAACAAGTATCCCTCTAGCTACAGTTTGTTTTAGAAGACGTGGTGAGATCCTCTCTCAGAGGGCACTGGCACAAACCTTCATGCATGACTAATTTTTAACTGGACCAGGTAAAGCCTTTAACTTAATTACAGAAAACAACATCGAACTGGGAAGGAAAAAAAAAAAGTATATTTTTTATTTCTTTAATTCATTTTCTTCACATGAAGTATAATTCCTTCATGCTTTCTGAACTTTCTCTTGTACTGTAGGCTGCAACAAGTAGTTCATTTAATGTATTCCCAGTTCAGAATGAAAATCGGGAGTAGTAAGAATACATAAACAGGAAGCAGAGAAACCAGTTTGACTGAGAGTGGTATTTATCAAGAGGCCTCCTGTCACATGCTGCCCTAATGAAGTAATAAAGACCATTCTGTGATATGAAAACTTAATTCAATTAAGCACTTTACAAAGAAGAAAAGCAGTCTTCACAGCTTCTAAGTACCTGATAAGACGACATGGCTGGATACTGCACCATCATGCCTTGCACCTGATTTCCCTGTTGATTATTCATCAGGCTCTGGCTTTGGGGAGGCTGCTGCATTCCCACAAGACCCTGGAACCCTTGCTGCTGGTTTGCCAGGACAGGCTGGTAACCTGCAAGAAGAAAGCCACCTTCAAGTACACTGTTGCTTTTACAGACAAAATTAAAACTGTTCTCACTAATGGCGAATGATCCCAGTATTTCTCCCCACATTAGTCAAAAAGGAGTTCTATTTCTACGGAAGCACTCATAGAAATAAAATCTAAAGGGAATAAACATGTAGGTTGGCAACCCTGGCAGGTTGATATGAGCAGGCAGCACACCTTCCTCATGTTCTTCAACCCTGCAGAAGATAACACCTTGAGGGACATTTGACTTCAGTCCATGATTTAAGGCCCTGAACAGACACAAAGTGCTACTGGCTTCAAGCTATTTCCAGAGGCAAAAACCCTGCCAATTTCAAGGACACCAGTATTTGGCCTTCACAATCGAACACATCACTTTTCTGATCTTCAGTTGTGCCTCACAAAGCACCTCCATCTCTCTTACCTTTCTTGCAACGCACCCCCCTATCATGATGTAAACAAAGATGGCTTGATTTAATCAAGAACAGTATCTATATACACACTGGCTCCTCCTTGCCAGTTTTTATTTATATATATATCACAGAATCACACAGAATTTCTAGGTTGGAAGAGACCTCAAGATCATCGAGTCCAACCTCTATGATTAGAACATATTAAGGGTCGCATTCTACCCTACTGTTTCACATTTGGCACAAGAGGAACTTGCAAGTGGCTGCACAGGGATGAAAAGATGATGCTTTGGCTTCAACCTGTTGTTGGTTCTGTGTTCAGTCACCACAACATTGCTGGTTTTCTGACTCCTCTAGGACTAACTGAGAAATGGGCAAAGTCTGTATGATCTGGAGGGCAAAGCCGCTAATGAAGTAGAAAAGTAGATGGGAAACAAAGTGCTGCTCAGCAGCAATGCGATCTGGCCTGAGAAAGAGCCTTACAAGATGGACGTGGGTTGGCTGGGTGAAGCTAATATTTAGAGATGAAAAAAAATTGAAAAGGAAAGGAAGTTGTAGAAAGATCCTGTCCTTGAAAAATGCATCCAGTCACAATCACTGCAAATACGTGAATAATTTCTCCTTAAGACATTCTCTGTACTGTATCACTCGTATATTTCATATATAGTTATGCAGTGCACTATTAACTTTGTAGTGATGTTCTCAGAATAAGCATATTTCAGGCAAAGGAGAATTATCAGAAGCAACAATGCTGTGTTATTTTTATATGAAAAATGTATGTCACTTCTGCTCAATTTATATTCATGAATACAGTACACAGTTCAATATACTTCACAAATTGGAAAATATCACCTGTGTATTTCTTCATTGTATAAGAAAAAGTTACCAATGTCTCTGTTTCTGCCAGTCTATCCTGAACTGATAGCTCTCCTTCAAAATCTTTTCTGATGCCAGAGAATATTTGAGTATATCTGAACACTTTTGACACTAAAGATGCCATTTCCACAGATATGAGATTAATGTCTCCTGTCAATTGAGCAAAAAAAAAAAATCAAAAAAAAAATCCATGAGTGATTAATTTGGCTGGAATATAGCAACAAACATCTCCCAAATGCACCAGAATACTATACATTCAAATTTGTTCTTTTCTTATGCACAAACACAGAGTCAGTGCATTTTTTAGTCACAAAAATTACCAACATCAGAAGTGCTGTAACTCAGTTTACAGAAGGCTTATACAGCAATAGTAAAATTGCAAGTCCTCTTCTGTTCCTGTATACAAGTTATAGGGAGAATGAGGGAGAAAGGAAGAGGTAAAGAAATGTAACACTACTATTCTGGTATTCACAAGACTGGAAATTTAAGCAGAAAAGAGTCAACTGACAGTGGAAGCTGCAGAAGATAATTAACTTCATATCACTTATGTTTGTCAACTTAAGTCCAGGTATAGCAATGAATGAGGGATTGATGGTGGACTGTGGAATCTTCAGTGATGTGAAGCTGGGGAATGCTACCAAATTTTGGATCTGTGTTCACTGTGCTAGACTGTGATGCACTGGCACAGGGCAGCAACTGGTGCTATGCAGAAGCAGACAGTAGACACCATCAGGGTAAACAAGAGAGAAGCCCAGCTGTCATTGCTCAATGTAATTGCATTACCATTATTTTAATCAGGCTACTGCTGATACTCTGCTGTATGTTCAAACATACAGCTTTGTCTTTGCCTCAGCTTTGTGTTCATATTCACCAATATGATACATTTATTGCTCAGGGCAGACATAACCATCAAACAGAAACATGTTATGAAAATGACTGGGTGTCTACCCTTATGCTGAACACATAAGCATCACCTCATCGGGGCATTACATTGACTTGCACCTCTGCCCTGTCAAAACGAATGGGTGAAATCAGGCAAACACAGATAGTACAATCATACTGCATTTCAGGTGCAGGACAGAAAAAAGTGTTAAAAAGGTTTAAGTGCTGAGGTTCACTAGGATATGTAATATTATTTTAACAATCCCATTACTCTTCAAGGACTTTCTTCTGTCCATAAGGCATGTGCACCCCTCACCCCTGTCCTAACATGCAGAGTCCTGCTTACTCCCTGGGCAATCTGAAGACCTCTTTCCCACTCCCTTTCCAAGCACTTTGCAATGCTCTGACCACATAGTGGGACCTCAATACAAGCACAGAAAGTGCTTCAGATGTATTCTGATGCACTTCCAATATGAGTAGATAGTAGCAGAGAGATATTAGTGTAAGAATCTGACTGCATTGTCTCCTGACTCTTCTTTGCCTTTAGGGGAAGTTGTCATTTCTACGATTCAGAAGAAGCTACTGTAGTCTGTTGACCAATAGCTCCCTTGAACTGTGGGTGGAAACAGGTGAGTTTAAGGTTACTGCTCTCCTGCATCCTTGCAAAGATGGTGGCTGTCATCTGTCCCTCATTTAATACTCTCGGACATTTTTTTATGATTAGTACCCTATTAGTAGCCTAATATAAAGAATTTATGGATGTCAGACCTTGCTGGAGAACTCCAGATGCGGTTGCTCAAAATCCACTTTCCCCTTCAAGGCTCTACAACTCAAATGAAGCCACTTCTCTGATAGCAAAGTCTGACCCTTTATGATGTTAAATATATGAAGGAAGATGCAAGTTCATGTACTGACCATAACCCAATAATGTACAAAGATACACTCCAATAGTGCAGAGTGGTACAGAATAAGAAGAGGTGAATGAATTCCTTTATCTGCAACAAGCTCTACAAGAAGCATGAGGAAAATGCTGTAGAAAAAACAACAACAAAAAAGTTGACAAGTCTTTTATGCTAGATGGCTTCTGTTTCAGCACAAAAGCAAGCAGCAAGAACTTGCAGTCTATGTGGCAATCCATTTGTACAAGAAGTTGTTAATATCAGAAACCATCTGCTTTGAATTTTCCACTTCCACAGCCAAAACTGTGCAACTTTGACTCTGCATGCCACATAACGTTTGAAACAGATCCTTCAGTGTTTGCTGTGTGTTGATGTCTTCATGTTTTTGCACACTGTCCAGGGAAAAAATGAAGATGGGCAAACTGAAACTCCTCATAACTGATAGGCTTGATATATCAAGCTTTCAGCAATGCTTATGAAACTATCATTCTAGCATTTTTTTTCCCAAGGGCACAGACCATCAGAGAGTGCTATTTTCCCGACACTATTTTGTACACACAGCAGTTTCAATCCTGAACTCAGCTCTGCCATGCTTTTGACATGCTATTTATTTTTCAATGAAATGAAAATAATAGTGTTCTCAAAAAGCTTGGGAATTGACTGCAGTGCATGCAAAGCCATGCATCACTGGGCAGAGATGGATATTTTGGAGCTACACAGGTATCAGGAAATAAGTGAAAACAGGAAGTGGCACCATTCTGCAGCAATAAATTTCTTCATAGTTGCTCTTTTGCTTATTAGCTTTCATACTACATGAAGTGTAATCCTTAAAAGTTTCTTTGTTGTCCCCTGAGAACATATATATTTTCTAATGGCAGTAACACATCAGATGAACCATCCTATTACTGCAAGCTCCAGGGCCTCTTTACTGCAATTATACCTTCCTGCTCTGTGTTATCTCTGCTACAAAGAAGGATTTTTTATTTTTTTTTAAATCGGGGAAAACATAAGAGACATTGTTAAACAACCAGAGGAACAAATTGTGCACAGAATTTCAATGAATGCCTCAGAGGAAAAATGAGCCTTGGATCACAATCTAAATGGAAGAGGCTGTCATAACATCAAGGTAATTCTCTGAACCTTTATAGCTTGCACCACCATGCTGACAGTCAGCTACCTTAAACATCCCAGAGGGAGAAACACTACATGAAACACCCACAAATGTTTTAATTTCTTAATGAGGCTGTGGAGCTTAAAAGATAAAACGCAGTGGTCTTGATGTTACTGGGTCTAGTAGTGTCACTCAGAGCTGTAATTAAGGCAGGCGCGTTGATCTGCTGGCTTCAGCACATGCCCTTCATGAACAGCACATCCATGCTTGCAGGGATTGTTTCATTGCTCATTTTAGATTTGAAGCATATATTAGCAAGATAGCTTTGTAGTAGGCTTTTTACCTGGAGTGCTGACACTCAATCAGCACTTGGGATGATAAGAATTTGGTCTGGCACAACTTCCTGAACCACAAATATTACTCTGCCCTCACCACTTTCACCTAACAGGTTCTTTGCATCTAAGCTCATCCGATGCAATCACATAAATTTACAGAGGTTTTACTGTGAAGTGATTTGAAGGCTAATATTCTCCCTTTAGTGTAGTTCTCTGAGAAGCCAAACAGTGGTCACCTGCAAACTTGGGACACAACCAAAATGCACATTTTCACAACACACTGCAGCAGCATGGCAACCTGAGACCAAAAGAAATTCAAAAGATAGATCTCAGCAGGGCTAATGGGCTGGATGCAATGCTGCACAAATCTGGCCGTGTTCGTGCCCACTCCACAAGTACTGCAGTGCCTTTGTCAATCCAGCACCTCTGCCCTATGTCTCCTCCTGCAGAAGGGTGACCCAGTCCCAAGGGTTGCACTTGCCACAGGTGCTCACATTCACACAAGACTCCCCAAAACTGGGAGAAGAGAGTGAGAAAACTGATCTGAGGTCAGAAAGTGCACCTCTTCCTGTGACACCTGATGAACTCATTCCACTCCATTCATTCAAAAGATAAAAACGTAGCTACTAGTAGATGGTTCTTGAACAGAGTGAAGAGAAAGTTACATCATTGGAAGATAAACTTAGAAACATCCAGATTAGAAATAAAGTGCAAAGTTTCACCAGAGTCTATAATTAGCAAGGGGGCATTTTACCTAGAGATGAAGCACACTTGCTATCACCTGAAATCTCCAAAACGAGGATAGACAGCTTGCTAGAAGATATTCATCAGCTTAATAAGAACTTCTGGGAATAAAGGTGTGATTAGAGTGTGCTCTTAGTCCAGTATTATTCAGAACAGTGAATTACATGATCCAGGCTTGAAATACTTATGAAAAACGTTAGACAGTTAGCTCTTAATAATTTTCTAGTCTTCCACTGAAAAGCACTAAGTATCCATGTGTGAGACGGGTTCCTCTTCCCAGTCTCTTTTCCTTTGATCACGTAGTGGCACTGACACCAGGTTGACTCCATATGCAGAGAACTCACCTGGTGGCTACCTAAGGGTTATTTGTGGGATATTTTAGGTTGTTTCACCCCACTGGAGAAACAATCACTAAGTTTTACAAGCTGCAGAATCCGGTTGATACCAATTTCCACAATTTTGCCAGTCTGTTTTCCCTTACTTTTTAAAATAAGGTATGGGTGGGATGTAGTTTTTGCCCTATAATCATAGAAACTTAGAATACCTGTGAGAAGTTACCTGTCAAAGAAAAAATGTCTTCATAAAACTACAATGCCATCATGCACACATCAGTAAATTTGGTAAAGTTTTTGGCAACTCACTTATTTGCCAAAAGTTCTGAGTTGGTCCATCCCAAAGTACTTGCAAAGCTGAAAGGAAGAAAAAAAATGAAGCAAGCAGTTCGGCAAGATCAAACACTGTCTTGGCACAAAGAACCCTTTGATTCTCAAACAGTCCCTAAGAATTATCTGTAAAATACAAGGGAAGAAGGTCAGACTGGGGAAGCAGGCTCAGTTCTGCACAGACTTACATTCAGGCCTGTTGGCCAAGTCGTGGGAGGTGGATGCTGAAATCCTTTCCCAGCACAACTGAAAGCTGGAATTTGAGGCAAGGGATTTCTATCAGTCAGAACAAAGCCCCCTGTACTATGGGGGGTCTGTCAGTACCTCCTGCTGACACTCTTGGCCTCACATCTGGATTGCAACCAGATGTTTCACCTCCCACATGAACCAGCTACAAAATCTCCCCATATGCCACTGGCTCTAGAGAAGCATTGAGCTCTGGCTGGCTTCTCAAGTCTGCACGTTATGCATTAGATCTGGGTGGCTGCTGAGGAAGTCTTCCCCCTACCCCAAATTATGTAGTTTATCATCAGTTGACCAGTTTCACACACATAGTAGACTGGAAGTCTCACTGAAAACACTGCTATAAAATTAAGCTGAATTTGTTTTCAGCCTCACGACCCCTAGGTGTCTGCAGTTTAGAAGACTCCCACAGAAGACATGTTAATTAATTTCTCCCTGCTGGTGTGTTATTTTCTATACAAGTCTGATGATTTAAACTGCTTCTTGTGCAGCTGGAATCCAAAAAATTTTGTAAACGATTTTGTCGCTAAAGCTTGCATCTGAAACCTAAGACATGCTGTAAACCAAATGTGCTGCAGTTGATCAATCCACCCCTACTATGTCTGCTTTCTTTCTGCACTACACATAAAAATGTCTTGACTTAGTAAGATATTTAGGCTTCGTGTTCCCCTTGAAGACATCTCAGATACTTTATGGGCATAAACTGGATACCACATGAGCTGGAAGAACAAATACATAGTAGCTTAATGATAAAAATCTGTCCTCTTCCCCTGAAAACTTAAGACCATGCAATTATTTCATTTTCACGCATACACAAAGGTAAAACAAGAACACCTATGCCTGAAATAAAGGAGTCTTAAGCTAACTTGGAGGTGCAAGGTGGCTTAAAACACACAAAAAAGCACACATACCAATAACTACAGCAGCACATGCTCCTCTCCCCACACCACCCGCTGCACTCTGCGGGCACAGAGCTTCTGTCCCAGCAGAAGCCTTCTCAAGTGAGTGACTTACAGTTTTGGTTGCTCTTGTTTAAGGCAAAAGCACATCCCACTCCAGCAGCATAGCTTGCAGGGGAAAGCACATGGTATTATGCTAGTTTTGTTTTCAAAAAAGAAAACTAATCACATTGATTCTTTCAAGTTGTGCAAGATCAAAACAATTTTTAGCTAATGGCACTCCAGTTACATTCATCAAAAACACAACAGGATAAATATTTCTAATCTGATTAGAATGACAGTGACTTGTATAATTCTCTACAGAGCTAGGATTATAAAACTGCAGGATTTAGAATTTATTTTCTTAGTACATAATTGCTGCCAGAATTGTAGCTCCCTGGTTCCTAAATTAGCCGTAGCTTTGCTAAGAGTACATTCATGCTTCCTGAAACTGGTACCAGATTAACACCCACATTGCTGGCAGACCCACAGAGAAAGGACCATATCTGGCTGCATTCGGGAGATTAGAAAGATGTATGCATCAGAGATATAAGACAGCAAGTCTTTATTATCACAAAAGAAGGAAGAAAAACACTGGCGCTAAGACAGCTCATTCCCCCTGCTCTTCCTCTCTCTGGCTTACGAAGTTCTCTGTTCTACAAAATCAACAGTGCAAAACATGATATTTAAACTGTTTCTTCAGAAGAATAAACCAAATTTAGAAATTGGCTGCAATTTTACATTATTTCAGAATAACCCATTTGTTGGACTTGTTTAAAACTGCAGATGAAAATACCCAGACACAAAAGAAAATATTTGGTGTGTAATGGCTCTGAAAATCCCCCCTATGGCTACCCACATCCCACTGCTAGAGCAGGGACTGCCTTATTTAGCTGAATTGTCCATCCCTGAAGAGGATACTCTTCATGTATTCTTCTTCAAAGTCTATTTGAAATCCTGGTTTTACGTGCTTTGGAACCTCAGAACCTCTAAGAAACCCAAAGCACAGAGCATCCAAAGCATGGTTTCATGTGCTACTCCAGATACCACAGCCAAACAGGGGAACTTCCCAGCAGCTAACAAAACCCCAACATCAGGCGAATAATGCATCCCATAGTTAAGCAAACACTCCCAATTCAAGTGATTTGCAAGATCAGGGCCTCACAAGTCTATTTTTAACTCTGCTTGTCCCATGTAAACTGGAATGCAGTACATTTATACCAAAACTAGGAGAGATTGCTTTGTGCAGAGATTTTTCTTCAAGAATAGTAACTGTATAAAACCAATAGGCCCATCTTAGTGGTAGAAGGCTTCCTATTATGGCCTTCCAGATTCTATCCATGTGAGATGATAAAAGTTAGCACTGCACATCGCATGATATTTAGAGCTTCTTATACGTCAGCACAAAAGAAACATCCACAACATTTTCTTTTACCCTTTTTCTGTGAAACCAAATTCTAATTGCTGGAGACAGGGGAAGGCATCAACTTTTAAAACCCATTTATATGCATGCTCACTGTCCCATGGAGGAAAAAATGTTTTCATAGAGATCACTGAACTGTTATTTAGACCCTTCTCCTCTCATCATCCAAGCAACTACCTTCAGGGCTAACATGCAAATCATGGATATAATGAAAGACGTTTTATGAATCACTTGGAGATGCACACTCGCCCATCAGTTACTTTTCCATGTCTAAAAAATTTAAAACCCTGTGACCTCGCTACTATTTCAGAAAGCCCAGACAAATAAGAAAGATGATTAAATACTGTCATTATATACCTAATGCAATCACAAACTGTAACATCTTCTGAGACCAAAATTTTAATTAAGGCAGGCTGGCATTTCCCCCCCACACCCCCCCAATCATTTTTCCAGGGGAACAGCAGGTAAGGTCAAACAAAAAGCTTATGTGATAAAATTGCTTGAGAGCACTCCTAGGAGATCTGGCATTATTAACAAGAACATCAAGAAGGGCACAGTTGAACAGTTCAAAGATAAATGGCTGTATTCAGTTTACTTTTCATGATTAACTGAAGAACCTGAGAGAGCTGTGTTTTGACTAGAAATACATATTAATAGCCATCAAAAGGAGCTTGAATAGATACAAATATAGATTTAAGGTTGCATAAACATGTTAGTTCTGTTTAAAATCTGGATCTATTCTTTTGCTTCTCTACACAAAGGATTTCTAAATTATAGATCTTTAAGCACAACATGCTACTGCTAAGTGGCTTGATGCTGAAAATAAACCTGTTCTTGCTGAGAACCTAATACCATGTTAGTACATGGCCTTCTTTTATTCTCTTTTCAATGTACTTTTCTTTCATGTTTGAAGCCCTTTAGCACTGTTTCTGTTTTTTCAAAAATTATTACAAAAACTATTTTTTCTTCTCCTTGAAGATAAATCTGAAGATAAATGGATGTGCACCTCTATTGGACATGGTATGGAACTCAAAGCTTCTGTAAGACTCAGAAAAGAAAAACCTATTTTTAAGACAAAATCCTTTTATCTTACTCCAGTAAAAATATAGAGGGAACAGCCGGCTGCAAGCCAAAATAATTGCAACACAATAATGCAGGGCTCCATTACAGCAGCATAATTCTGGTTAAGCAGCTGATCCAGGATCTTGGCGCTTACCCAGAGCCTGGAGCCTAAGCTAAATGCATTAACTCAGACAAAGCATGTGCCATGTGCAGCTGTTTCGGTAATCTAAGGCTTCTGAATTTTATTGGACACCAAAAAAAAAAAAAAGTCACTTATCCAGCAAATGACACAGGTGATATATAGAGAGGAGGAAAACATTTTATGCTGTTTAACCAAATTAATCCAGTGAGTTGCATGAACAGACTCAACAGCCTTTGGGAAATGGGCTTTGGAAAGAGCTTTCCTTTGGCCAGCACAATGAGCAAGGGTTTACCCTGGAACGGCGTAGATGCCCAAAGCCTGCAGGGAGGGAAGTTACTGTAGGACCAGGAAAACATCATTTTGAGAGGTGTGAAGCCCAGCCATTGAAGGAATGTGCTATGGGCTGCTACACAGTGCTAGTGACATCAAGGAGGTCCTGGAGAGCTCTATGGAAGAGCCAGGTTCAATTCCTCTGGCCTTAGCCCCTGCCTGCCAATCCTGCTGACATTAACGAGAGCTAACAGACACACAGGCAGGCCAATACATCTTTGTAGAGACTTTCTGGGTTTCTCTTAAGAGCTTTGCTGCTTAAAAAACATGCAAGTTTAGTCACAGCCCTTACTGTGGCCATAAGTTGCTATACAGATGCAGTCTGTTGCACTTCCTCCTTACACGATTTTTCAATAACTAATTTACAACATAAGCACAATTAAGAGCTAATATATAACTAACACCAACGTAAAAGCCCATTAACATTTAATAGCCACATTTCTTTAATATATGACATGCTGTAAGTCTTAACTCACACTAAAAAGTGTCACCTAGAGAGATGCCCTTGCCAGCAATGCATTAAAGAGGGTCTTCATGTAAAATGACTACAGAACACTGTATTCTTGACTTTGCTGAATTCAGAGACACTGATCATAACATTATTAATGTAAGTGTTCATATGCTCTTGCAGAAAAACTAAACTTATTTTGAAGCTAAGATTTAAAGTGAACTAGGAGGAAATTACATATAAAATTAACTATTTTACCATTATTATTTTCTGAAAAAGAACAAATACAATAGCTGTGACTGAAAACTGCAAGAAAAAACTGATCTTTACTCATCTGTCTACCCAGAAAACTGTATCTTGCAGACTTGCAAAATGTAACCTTTGTTATAAAGTTTTCAATTACGATTTTCACATGTGGGTATTTTTCATGTGAAATGGTAA